ACGCACTAAATAATGAAATGAAAATGAGTGTACAAAGAAAATCTTTTCGGTTATTAAATTTATTAAACAATTTTTCCATGTGTCTTTAAATGACGAATGATAATATTTCTATTAAGATTAATAATTTAATTAGCATATGTGATACATCTTCAGAGACTTATTTATCAAGTAAGTCATAGTTTCAGAAAAGACATGACAGCTATTGACTCAAAACTTCCATTATTGAACACTTCTGTTATGTACTTTTATATGACAGCTTCTAATAGGTTATTAAATGTTCCTGTCAGTAATTAATTATGCAATAATATCTTCCATATCAATATTAAATGGTCACAAAAGTGATAACAGTATATTATTGTAAAATATGTAGATCACTTTGAAAAATCAAGCTCAAAATCATAACTTTTCTTTGCACATCAGAAAAAAGTTCTGTGATCTATGGACTTTCAGCTGAAACTAATAAACTTCAATTTATGCCATGGGGAGCACTGTATGGAGAAAAAGGCACAGGAGAAAATCTGGGTTTAACTTTTGGCCCATCACTTTCCAACTATGTGACACAGACATGTCACTTGCTGTCTTTGAACCTCAATTTTCTAATCTTTAAAATGGTAAGAATAATCCTCCTTACAGGATTATTTTGAAGTAAAGCACCCGATTCATAGCAAGTGTTTAGGAACTGGTAGCTGTTATTATATAGGATTACAGTTCAGATACTATGGTAGGGGAAAAAAGATGACAAGTGATGCTCATGGATTTCTGAGCATATTCCTTAATTCTGAGACAGAAAATAGATATATTTGATCTATTTAAATGGCATGTTTTAAAAATATACTATGCCACCACTCTACACAACCATACACACACACATACACACACATACATATATTACTATAGAAAAACAGATGTGTACCAAAATCTGTTTTTGCTGCACTCTTCTAAAATGTCCAAATCACATTTCATGTACCATTTTGTCTTATTTGATATGTACTACACTTCCAAATTAGCAATTATTACTACCCCTTTTATGTCATTAAAAAAGACTAATTTATATTACCTGAGATTACTTTTATTTCTGGAAGTACCAAAGGTTTTCTTACTTTTCTTTCATTATCTCAGGGTAATTCCCTATAGTTATTTCTATGAAAACATCCATATTTCTATTGATCCAAATATTATTCACAGAACATGGTTTCAAGTTTCACAAATAAAAAATACTATTGATTTGTGGCCACCATGTTCCAAACATTGTTGATTTATAGTGCCACTTTTAATTTTGAGTTTTCATTGAAAATTCACAATTTAGTATTTTAAGACACATGTGAAATGTATCTATGAATTTCCTTTATGATTTTGTGCTTCCTGAAAATAGAATATAATTGCTACACTACAGGTTTAAATTGCTATTTTAATATTAAAATTCCATTTTTAATATGGAAACACTGAAAACTCTATCAAAGACCAATGTGGCCCATAGATTAAACAGATTCAAGGTGAAAACTTCAGGGTTCTCAGAAGATTCTCAAATCTCTCCAAAGGTATATTTCCTTGGGGTAGGAAATATTCAATGGTTAGTTGGCTTGTCATAAACTAAATCCTGTTCTGTGTCACAGATCTGGATTAACAGTTCCCCCAAAGTCATCTTACAAATTCACGTGACTCTTCAAAAGAATGGGGATGATACTCTGCAAAGCAGTCATTGTTATTGGAGACAAGAAAATACTCCAAATGTCTTTATTAATGATGTGGCTATTATAAGTGTTGTGCTCAATAAATAGCATATATGTTTGAAAAAAGAATTTTCCAAAAAAATTTGAAATAATTTATGTGAAGAAAGAAAATGTAATACAAATCCAGAAATAATTCAGATGATAATTTATCAATAGTTGGTTACTGTTTGTGTACTCTGTTAATTTACATATGGAATGAAGTTCAAATATCATGGAATGTGTTATCCATTCTTATATTGAGGCCACAGTCATTCAGAAAATAAAATTATATTCTCAATGGGTGTAATTTTGATATATTCATTAAAATCTAACATCTAGTTTTCAGCTGTTCTAAAAAGTGGACGTTTTAAGTCATGATTAACAAGACCAGGATTTTGTACCAAATATTGCCATGTATCATGTAGTGAAATAAGAAACACCCCTGGGAGTTAACACTGTTTAGATAATATAGTTAATGACTTACATAAGCAAAAAATGTATAATATTAATTTATATCTTCATAATTTAAAAACTCCAAACTAAACAAAAATACAGACACATAAAAGACTTTAAGCTTATGTTCTGTATTTTATAAAGGAATTAGAAAATTAAAAGCTTAAAGTGGAATAAGATTTCAGTTAATAAAATTTTAATGTCCACCTAAAGCTGCCCTAAAATTCTGAATTAAACATGGCTACTGTAATTGGACCAGATTTGTTTCTTTAGGAAGTTGTTTCTAATTCTGAAGCTGCATATGTGCAGGGACAAGTGATGTAGAACGTAAGGGTTGCCATGGTAAGTACACATCTTTTCTTGGACAAAATTTTTTTAAAGTATATAAAGAACCCTCACCTCATAATATGTCATAGAAATTGACTTTGCTTTCCTTACCACCACATATAAGTACAATATGATGCAATGCAGCATTGCACAAAAATAGCTCACATTTTAAAAACTTTAACCCATTAAGATGGCTTATAAAATCTGAAATGAAAATGAAATAAGAAGTCTCCAAGTCAGATAACTCTAAATGTTGGGTCGGGAATAAACTCCATCTTCATTAAATTAATAAATAATCTGACCTCAGGACATTCCACGGGCCTGAGACAACACAGGAGTTCAAACGCAATCACTAAACACCCCCCCCCCATACACTTTAGTCCTAAGACTCTTAAGGAAAAATAAAATCATTCCTACTCATTCTTTACCCTGCGTGATCAAAGGTTTCCAAGAAGCAGGGACTTGACTGCTCTAAGTCTTTTGCAAAAAGGTCTCCTGGTGGTTCCCTTACAGTTAGCTTAGCGACTCCTGGATGGAGGCGTGACACTTGGACTGGGGAGGTGGCATAATCTGTTGCGAATCGCAGCAGGTTCTGAGGAGCTGGAGAACCCACGTGTGCAGGGGCTGAAGAACTTTTCCACCTCCTCTCCCAGGTGAAATGCCTCATTTTAAAATAGGGAGCTGGCTGGGGCCAAGGGCAGGGTGGAGCGTGGGCGGTAAAAAAGAAATGGCAGAAGAGAAGGTTTCAAGCCCTTCACAGGTATCCATCTACCTGTGCTTATTTTCCCTGTATTCTTGCCTCCTCTGGTCAACTTTATTATTTTTTTTTCCTTTTGTAAGAGGACTTAAGCAACCGGGATGCTGAGCATCTCATAGGCTCAGGCTGGAACAAAGGAAATCGAGTTCCTAATACTGTATCTCTCCGGTTGGAGGGATCACGTGTTCTGCTTTCGCTGGAATGCACTCTTCTCGCCCACGCTATAAAATCTCTATTGTGCTTCGAAATTTACCCAGGTTAAAATATGCTCACATAAAATTGCTTTTCATCCGCCAGGAGTGCAACATTTCAACACATACAGGTACACATACATTTACCTGCCGACCCATTAACCAATGCAGGTAAATTCGATGGGTCGAAAGTGTAGTGGAAAAGTAACAGAAAAGAACAGGCGGAGGACCCCTGTGTCTCACCGATTCCCAGCCCCACCCCTCCGCTTTTTGTAATTTCTTTTGAAGGAGAACTTCGAAAGGAACGTGGGAGACTCAGAAGGTTGCTTTTTGAAGCAATTCCCGGGAGTTGTGACAGTGACCCCTTCCCTTCTCCGCCTCGCGCTGCGCGCTCTCCCCCAACCTGCTTGCTTTGTGACTTGGTGGAGAAGAGAAAGAGAGGGAGGAATGGGAGGAGAGGGCGGAGGCGGGTCCTTTATTCGGCTCTGATGGCCGAGAAGTGTAATGAGGCAATTTTGCAACCATCTCCGTTATTATGAAGTCACACTATTTTAAAAGGCAATCTGCACACCCCTCCCTCCCTCGCCCCGGTTCTTGACTCTGCAAACAGTTAAGACTAGAGACCTCTGGTAACCAATCTAATTTCTGTAAGCCAAGGTGCCATCATTACCCTAACGCTAATGTGCTTCCCTCCCTCTTTCCACGTAGGATCCGAAACACGTCCTGCATCCTTAATGACTCGGAGAAGAGGACGCGAGATGCTGAGGGGGGCCCAGCGCTGGACTGGGAATAGTGCAGGTTCACCAGCTTCTCGTGCCACACAAAGGAGATGTGCTGGCAGGAGTTGTGTGGGTTAGGGGGAGGGCGGCATCGTTCTCCCTGACTCCCGGGGAAAGCTTTCACTCCACCGCTCCCCCACTTCTTTCCGTCCTCCAGTCTCTCACGCTCCTTCGTCCCCTCCATCCCCCCAAACCCCACCCTATCCCTTCAATCCCCAATGATATAAAAATCTTTTTATTGAATTTTTTTTTAAATAGACATCGAGACAGTAATGCAACACCTTCCAAGATAAAGAGACAAGTGCGACCTGCCACAAGTGTGTGTGTGTGTGTGTGTGTGTGTGTGTGTGTGTGTGTGTGTGTCACGATCAAACAAGCGCTTCATCCCCAAGACATCTCCGGGAAAAAGCTGACAGGAGATACCCAAGATAATAAGAGGAACTAAACCTAATCTCAGCCGGACCAATGGTCCCAGCTCCAGCGCCCAACACTCGCTCTCTACCTTTCCTTTTCGCAGTATGTAACCCTTTAGGGTCTCTCATCAGCCCCGGCCACTCGGTGCGCCCAAGCACCCGCCCAACTAGCACCCAAATGCCCCGCAACCTACCACATCGCCACCTCCGTGGGCCACTGCAAGAGCAGCTCCCAGCGAGCGCCGAAGCCTCCAACCCTCCTGCCCCCGCCCCCGGCCGGCCGCTCGGGTCCCACACCTCGCGTGCCCACGGTCGCAGGCGGCGAGGCCCCCAACAGCCCTTTCCGCCCGGAGCAAGAGTGCCCTACTCACATCGCCGGCGGGAGAAACTGCCCATGGGGTTTTGGAGATCGTGAGCCGTGCAGCTGCCAAGGGTTATTCCTTAAAGTGTTCAGGGGTCCGCAGTGGAGTGGGCGCGAGGGTCCTTGGAGGAGGAGGAGGGAAGGACTAGGAGGTAGGAAGAACAGGAGGAAGAGGGGAATCCAGGCAGGTGCCACGTTAGACCATGATGTCGGTGCCCTTCAGGTGGACGGCCGGAGAGGTTCCCGCGGGAAGCGGCCGAGGGGAAGCCCGAAGCGCCGGCGGGGGAGGCACGAGCGCGTCCACTCCCCAGCCTCCGCCTGCCCTGCGCGCCGCGCTAGCGACCGCAGCAGCAGCAGCGGCGGCGGTGGCGGAGGCGCAGCTCCCTCCCCGCCCCCAGAAGGCTCCACAGACAATAAATCCTGGGCGGAGAAGAGATGAGCAGGAAAGGCGAATCGTGCACCTAACTCCGTTAACACCCCCTGCCCGCAGCCGCGCCTCTGCGGGGCAAGGATCCCCAGGGGCCGGAGCGCAGAGGGCGGTTCGGAGGGGCAGAGCGCTCCCTTGGATGCAGGCGGCGGCGGTGGCGGTGGTCCGAGTGGGAGGCTGCAGGTTCCGCCGACGAGAACCTGCTGCCGGGGGCTGGATGTCCGTGGCTTCAAGCCTGGGGTTCGCCCGGAGTGGGGTCTTCCTCGGTGCAGTGGCTCGGCGCACAGGTGCCAAGATTGGCAGTCGAAGAGGCGCTGCTCATGGCTCTTGGCTGTGTCTCCCCGCTCTCCCCGCCCCCTCTCTTTTTCCCCACCCCCTTTTCCGACGACACCAGCTGCAGTTGCTTCAAAGTGTGAAAAATGTCAAGGAGATTTTCCAATGATAGGAGGGGGTGACCATGTTCACAGTCCTCCGTCCCCTTATGAGATCCTCGCCTGCCCCTCTGACCTCTACTAGGGCTCTCCCAAATTGTGAGAAGAAAAATCCCAGTCCGGCGGAGAATGGAAATGCTAGCCTTCTGGCTCCGTCACCACAGGCTGCTTTTGGAGAACAGGACGACAAGCCGAGCTCTCTGGGTTTTTCTTGCCGCCCGCGGTGCGCAAGGCAGGTGGCACGAGGCACCGCGCCGGGCAGCTCACGGCCGCGGGCTCCTGCTGCTCGCAGACCAGCCCAGGGCGCTCGGGCAGCTCGGCGCGTCGTCCTGCAGCGCGGCCGCCCGCGCGGCAGAAGCAGCTCCCGGCCTGCGCTCCCCTGCACCCGCACCAGCTCGGTGACGCTGCGCTCGTGGCTCCGCAGGCTGCTGCTCCTGCTATCTCAGCAAAGAGGCGGCCCGGAGCGCCTCCTCGGGGTTTCCTCCCCCGCCCGCCTTCCCTGCTGCAGGTTGTTGGCTGCCAAGGAGAAAAATCTCTGCTTGTGGGGTCCCGGTTCACATCAGTCAGGGCAGCAACCCTTGTGCCTGCTTTCAGGTCCCATTCTTCTCACTTGGGGGGCCCTGGGGATGCGCATAAAGAGAAGGGGTTTCCCAACTTGCCTTATCTATTCCCAGCCCCTCCTCCTGTCATGAACACACACTCCCCACCACACGTACACTCATATACTCCCTCACATAAAGGCACACATAGACACTTTCTTCTCACACACTTCTCCTTAAGCTCTCATAAGCAGCAACATGTTAAAAAACATACTGATGAGGCTACTCCCATATTTAGACTTTTATTCTCTAAACACATCGAATGAATTCCCTCTTTAAAAATGAATTTCTTATCTTGGAATCATTCTTTTGTGAAACATAAACTATAGGTTTTTTTGTTTCCTCCTTACAGGAGAGAAAGAATCTTCCCTTTAGTTCTCCAATCTCAGCACATAGCATTCAAATGCCACTCTGGGATGTATTGTAAACTCAGAGTTTACTAAAAACAAAACACACTTGATTGTATTCCAAGATTTGGAATACTAAAGTCTCCAAGGTCAAAATCATCTTTTCTGGCTGCTACGGATTGTCTAGGAAGAGACTTTAAAGACTGACACCTAATTCGCAGAGTACTGAAGAGAAAGATTATTGCCCACTTTATCTGGGTCAAGAAGGTGGGCTGACTTTTAAGGACAACATCCCAGTATTTCATATATGGGTGCATACTTTCATTTGCATGTAGAAATGAAAAGGAGTGAAAGTATCTTTTGAAAAGCCAGATCATTTTTTTTTAAAGTGTTACAAAACACCAAAGAGAAAGTGTTCTGAAAATGACGAGGAAGTGAAAAAAAAATTGTTAAAAGAATTTTTTCAATCGACCTCTGTCGAGCTCTATTTTTTCGCCTATAGTTTTGTCCTTGTGAACATTTTGCCGCATCTCAATGTCTCAGCTGGGTGGAGTGATGTGAAAAATTTTAGTTGCAGATTAAAAATCTATTAAAGAAAAACCTGACACAACAGTTATACAATTATAACAATGCTGTTATAGGTTTCCAGTTGTCATGAATACAATTTACACAGTATTTTCACACATGTTCTTTCATTTAGTCTTTTCCTAAATCTATGTGGGGGGACAAACTTATCCATACTTACAGGACGGGTACAAAGGCTTATCTCAGAAAGGTACACAGTTTCCCTGAATTTGAACCCAGAATTTCTTATTTTAACTCTAGGATTCCTTGTCTTATATCAAAATAATTGACAAAAATTCTGTTTAAAATCATAGCCAATTACGAGTAACTGCAGATCCTTACAAACAAGCAGCATACCTACCAATGAATTCACTTCCTGTGTGTTAAATGAAACTATTTTCTTAAGTGAAAAGAAACTTATTTCTAAAAGGGAAAAGAATATTTGTTGGAACCCAAATTAAAAACTGATGGTGCTGCTATAATAAATTTCAAACTACATGTCCTCTTTTCTCCTTTATCTTGTCCTAGAATCTTGATTTGGGCTCATAAAGATCCAAATGGATAGGAGATTTTCAATATGCTCAAATACGATGCAGTGGCTGTGGGTTTTAACAAACACAATTTTAACATAAAGAATAGGAAAAGAGAAAGAAAGTCTTTAGAATAGATTTTGAATACAATGGACCATTTTTTCTCCTAAGATTTAGGAATCTTGAACAAAATTTGGCCACCTTCACTATTTAAACAATGAGACATACTGAAGAGATTTCAGTGATTTCATAGAATTATGGAACTATTGAAATGCAAATGTAGATGCTGTCTTTAAACCCCAAGTTACTCTGTCATCAACCCTCTGGAAATGAAGATGACTGTCTGAAAATTAGAGAGAGATTAATGTTAAATATCCTTTGGCTGTTGTGTAAGCAAAGGTCCAACACCAAAAACAATCACAATTTTAAAAATTTGATCAAGACAGTTTAGGTCATTAAATATGAAATGTCTGATTTTGAATCAGAAGTGTAGTTTATTATATCTCAAACAAGAAGCAGTACAGTCAAAGTATGTGCCTAAACTATCCACACAGTTTTGCCATCTTAATGGTAGCTTGTTTATGCCAGCAGCAAAGAAGCCTGGAGAGCAAGTGGTCACGAAATCTCCAAAGGCATGTCCACAGCTTGTTGAGAATTGAATATTTTTCCTAGCAAGAAGTGGTCTAATGCCTAGAAAAAGTGGTAATCAGTTGGTGCAAGGTTTGGTGAATACGGTGGATGACAGAGTTTCCAAGTCCAGCCTCTGTAGTTTGAGCAGCATTATTTGTGCGACATGTGGTCACGCATTGCCTTGTAAGAGGATTGGCCTATTTCAATTAACCAATCTCGGCTGCTTAATCGCAAGCATCCTCTTCATTTCATCCAACTGGTTGCAGTAGACATCTACTGTAAACAATTGGCTAGGTTTCATGAAGCTGTAGAGGATAATACCGACGCTGGACCTCCAAACAGACACCATTAGCTTTTTTTTGATGAATATTTGGTTTAGGACTATGGTTTTTGCACTTAGTCTTTATCCAACCATTGTGCCGAGCACTTGTGATTTCAGAAAGATTCCATTTTTCATCACACTAATGATATGGTGTAGAAATGGTTCACTTTTATGTCGTGACAGCAAAGAAAGGCAAGCTTCAAGGTGATTTCTCTTCTGATACTCCTTTAATTCACGCAGAACCTATCTATCCAGCTGCTTTACCTTGACAATTTGTTTCAAGTGGTCCAATATTGTTGGAATAGTAATATCAAACCTTGTGGCTAATTCACACATAGGTCGACATGGATTCACTTCCACTATAGCTTTCAGCTCATCATTATCCATCTTGGTCCTAAGTTGCCCACATGTCTCATTTTTAAGACTAAAATCACCAGAACAGAACTTCTAAAACCACAGATGTACTGTACATTCATTAGCCACATCCTTCCCAAACACTTCATTGATATTTTGAGCTGTCTGTGCTGCACTGGTATTACAACGAAACTCATATTCAAAAGTAACACTAATTTTTGATTTATTCATGGTTTCACAAAAATTTGAAAGATAATCACAAGACAAAACATATGTTTGAAAGACTGAAAATGTACCTTCACAATAAAAATAAAACAAGAAGTGTCAAAGTGAAATGTCAGAGATATCAACTGTGAAACTTAGTATTTAAGGAAATCGGGCATTTCATACTTAATAGTCTAAAACAGATTAGCTGTTCAGATTACATCTATAAATGGGTAGACATCAAGGCTATAAAATCATGTAAGTTGTTAATCAATTCCTTTGGCTTATACTACTAAATCTTTGAAATGATAATTTGTTCTTAGGATATAAGCAGGACTAACCTTATTTGAAAATAAAAGACATATGATGATATTAAATAATAAAGTGCCAAACATCTTCCTAATATTTCTCTTTGGATGCCTGAATTGCCACTCTTGTCTTAAAAGATACCCTCTTTGGCAATTCCTGATTAAAATAAAACTTACGGAGAGGATAACACTTTCAGCTTTATGAGTTGTTAGTATCTTAACAGGATTGGCTTAATTAGATATCAGTAATTTGGGAAACAGAAAACATTATTAAATTTTGATATACTAAGATACAGATATGAAAAGCTCAGAACTAGTAGAGCTTAGTAGGACAAAATCAGTATCAGTGGGATTCCATAAAGATAGAGAATGCTGCTTTGTTGTAATTAGCTTTGGAAGAACAGCAAAGAAGTTCTGACTGGGAAGTAGGAATAGGTCATTAAGATTTTTCTTCATATGAATTTGTTAGATGACCATTACTGTGAAATTTACCACTCAGATTAACTATCTGTTCTACCTAAAAAGTATGTTTCTTTATTGTGGATTTTAATTTATTTGGATAATTAGTTTTTAAATTTTTTGACATTAATTTGAATATTTAAATATTTTTTTAAGTACAATGAACACTAATGCA